GTCCTCCTTTAACCCCGAAGATGGCAATGAACCTTGTCGTAACGCCTGCTTGATTTCTTCACATCTCATCAGCATAATAACATCCACACAAACTCTCTCGAGCTCCTCTTGTGGTGTTGTAGAATCAGACAATTCCGACCATCTTTCTCCGGGTGACGACACAACCCTTGTTGGCTGCCTAGGTGATGGGGTCCTAGCAGGGGGCTGTTGATACTGCTCACCTTCAGCGCGTTGAGGAATCGGCGGTGTACTCGGTCGCTGGTTCATATATGGTCTCCATGCCGTCAGGACCTGTTCCTGAGCTTCCGTCCTCGTAGCACTCGGTGGCGAGTTTATATATGGCCTCCACGCCGTCAAGACCTGTTCCTGAGATTCCGTCCTCATAGACCTCGGTGGCGTAGGCGTCCTTGTAGATCTCGGGGGCGTAGGTGTCCTCGGTCGCTGCCTCCTTCTCCGGGTAGCTTCGCTCTCTGATAAAGAAGGAGTCCTGATGTCCCTTGTTTGCGTAGGCTCATCGCTTGCCTCTGCGAGCCGGCTCAATTCCCGCTCGATAGCCAGCGAGGTAGCATCCCGAAGTTTCCTCAACCTTCTCATCTTCCGGGCTGAAGCTCCAGGGGTCCACTCCTGGTAAACATGGATCGCTGACCATTTCACAACTTCCCACAGTAGTAGAGCACCCAACACCATAAGAAGCATCATCAGAACACCCGCTAGATCCCAGTCCACCTGAAGAGTCGCTGTTGTACCTGAAGTTGGCTGAGCTTCAACTGTCACCATCATAATGCAGCAAATCATAGCCACCAAGGCCCTCGCTGCTGCCGTAGATGTAGTCCCCACTTCTCCGCGGGCTGGCTTCTTGTATTCACCCATGCCCCAGATTGACAACAGAGCTCGTATTCGTTCTCCCGAAAGTGCTTTTGTAAGTAAGTCCGCCGGCTGTCGGACTCCTGGTACATGCATCGACTTGATGACCTCGCTGCTGATGGCTTCCTGAAGCCACGCAGCCTTTATCCTTAAATGTCTCGTCCTCCAGCTTCCCGTTCCAGCAGACAAAGACAACGCACTCAAAGAATCTGAGCCTACGACCTTGTCCTCCGCAAACTCATTCATATCCATGAGCATTGCCTCAACCCCGAGCATCGCGACACTTCCCTCCAGAATGGCATTTAGTTCCGCCTCTGCAGAACTTAGTGCCGTCGTAGACCGACGTGAGCTCCGCCACAGAATGGGGGTTCCCCCGTAGGTTATTACCCACCCTGTCTGGCTTCTCGCTGCACCGGGCGCAAACGCCGCGTCTGGGTAGAGGTACATGTGGTTCCCAGTCCAATTTATACGTAGCTGGTAGGTCTTGGTGTAATTGATGTACTTGAGCATCTTGTGGGCCATAGCAACAACTCTTGCTGGCGTTCGGGTAGACATTGACGACAAAACACAGCATCCAAAGCTCAAGTCGGGGCGCGACCGCTGCGACAGCCATAGTAATTCCCCGGTCATTTGCTGTGCCTGGTGGATAAGCTGCTCAGTGGGCGGCTGGTCATCTGGCAACACCTCATAGACTGCATCATCCTTAGCTATCGGAATCCTGCTTTGGTCTCCAGGCTGTAACTCGTAGGCGCGGATGAGCTCCTCGATGTAGCCCTGCTGGCTGAGGTAGCACTCCTCGCCCCGGGCCGTTAGTTCCATCCCAAGAAACTTCACTGCATTCTCTTCTGAGAGGATGCTCAAGTCTGAGGTGTCCCACTCCTGCTGGATCACGTCGGTCAACAACTGTATTACCCTTCGGGGCCCCAGGATCAAGTAGTCATCAACGTATATGAGAATCACCGCCGACAACCTTCCTCGTGCATCCCGGACCGACCACCAACTGGAGATAGTTCGTCCACGTGTCATGGTCAATCCAGCAGGCAACTTCATAGCTTCCATCCTCCTGTCTCGGTGCCGCGACCATAGGACTGGAGACTGTCTAAGGCCGTAAAGAGCTCGTACCAGCCTCCATAGCTCGTGGACTTGGATCAAGTTCAGCTCCTGTAACAGCTTCGGCGGGGTTGCTATTATAACTGGATCTCCAGCATCGTCACCTATGGGCGTCTTCAAGAAGGCGGCGACTATGTCAATGATCCCCACTGACCAGCCCTCCCTTTTGGCTATAACCAAACCAGTTCGCACTGCTTCAGATGGAGCGGCTTCCGTATATAGTGACATAGTTTCCGAAGCTGCGAAGTTCCCGCAAACCACGAGGCGCACCTTCCTTTTCACCCATGTTGTTCTGTCACTCAATTCCGCCTTGGGGTTCGGCTTAACTGTAAAAACCATCTTTGTAGGAAGCCGTTGGGCACGAGGATGCTGTAGCCATTCTCGTCTTTCGGGGGTACCAACTTGTAATCTTGCAATAGCGACTTCAACGGTGTTCATTTCCTTGACTATAGCGTCCTTCCACAAGGAGAGATGAGCCATTGCATCTCTCGGGTCCACCGTGTGGGTAACTTCAAGTGGTCCCTTTAAGCCATTGATCACCGCCTCGATATCCGGAGTATAGTTTACCTCCACCTTCGCCACTCTCGGCTGTAAAAGCGCCTTCGCTTCTGGTGTCATTTTCACCATTCCGCCCTCCACTTCCAGCAACATATCCCATTCCTGGTCGTCATTGGCGATTGGTGTCAGACCTTCCTGGCATGCCTCCTCCTCGGCCGCCTTGATAACACTTTCTGTAGTCGCATGACTCTCCTCCTCAACCACATCAATCAGGCGCACTTTTGGCACCCCATGTTCTTCTGATAGAAAGTACTCTGGTAGTTGAGAAAGTGGTGGTGCGTAGCGTAGCCATGATCTTCAAGCTGCTTGACCATATCCTGGGTTATCTTTCCCATGGCTTGCGGCGTGTAAGCTACTATCATCGTGCGTGTACCTTCCCAAGACAGAACTTCATGTCGTTTGCGGGGGTTGAACGTCGTACACTTTCCCATTTCAAAGGTTAGCACTTGTCCATAGCGCCTTGTTCCTTTGTCATCACTCCGTTCCACAACTTGTCCGCAAACTCGATCTCCTGGAGTGAGTTCAACCCATAAACCTCCTCCTGAGCGAGGTAGCCGCACAGGTACAAGATAGTTGTTGGCCTTCTCATCATTATTGCTATCACGATGTTGTCCTCGCTGTGTGTTTCTCATGACACTTATAGCCGTGAAGGTGGCCTCCGAGTCCACCTCCAATACTAATCTGGCCAACACCTTTGCCACTTCTGGTAGCTCTTTGAACGCTGTCGTCCAGCCAACTGCTCCACCATGCCTCCATATGCCGAAGACCTTGTCATCAAAGAACTTTGCCTCAGCCAGCTCATCCACCAGCTGTAGCGCCTTCTCGTAATTCCACTGGTCCAACAATACCCTTGATCGCTGTACCGCATCCTCCTCCAAGTTCGCCTTGGCATAGTTCACCACTCTCATTTCGACCTCTGCTGCTGGAGTCTTGATTGGGATCTTTCGCCTTGGCCTCGGCTCATCCCCCAATTGTAGTTCTTGCTCAGGTGGTCCTGGATCCTGCAACTTGGTCCGCACATGAAACGTGTGGATGAATTTCTCCTTGGCGCCTTCGGTGCCCGGGACATAAATCACGTGGCCGTCATCGAGGAGGCTACTGAGTCCCATATAGTGGCCCTTTAACCATCTAGACTCAAACGCCCGCTCGCGCCGGCGTGGTCCAGATGAATCAAACGCTCTGCTTGATGTGCACAGGGGCGCCATAAGGCGCCATCAACTTACTCCTCCACCCCAGAACACTTGCTCGCTGCATCGCTGTTGCCGCTTCCACTGCCGTAGGCCATAGCTTCGTCGGCATTCGAGCCCCAACCAGCAAAGTCCTAGCGCGGTCCTTTATCCACCGAACGGCGGACTCAGCTCGTCCATTCCCTTGTGGCACTCCTGCCTCAGACCCGGTAGCTCGTATTCCTTGCTCGCGGAACCAAGACCTAATGCCATGACTAAACGTCTCTCCATGATCCGCATGATGCCGGTAAACAGGCAAGTTGTGGGTCTCGAGGTACAGAACTATATCTTGCAGCGCCGCTTTAACCGAAGCTGAGGTGTTGTTTTTCAGCGGTTTCGCGAACAGTAGCACTGTAGCTTCAGGAGGTTCACAATCTTGAATTGGTGACCGCTGCGATTCGATACCCCTCAGGTCACCTCCACCGGTCTCCTCAGCGTCCGCTACTGACGGCTCATACATACTGTCTTCATAGTCCTCGAATTCCTCCCGCTGCACCATCGTGCTCCCAATAAACTCTCTGCGTCCATCTTCAGGTGGAGTTATCACATCAGTCCCACGACTTTGCTCACCCGGCTCATCGTCAGTGTCTAACATGGAAACCTGCCCACCTAGCTCTTCATCATCCGACATAAACGGATCATCTTCATCACGTGGTGGTAGTAGAGAAGGTCCAGCAAGCTCTTCGCCATCTGTAGCTTTAGCTTCTTGTGGCTCCTCCTCAAGCGCATCCCCTTCATCACGTGGTGGTAGTGGAGAAGGTCCAACAAGCTCTTCGCCATCGGTAGCTTTAGCTTCTTGTGGCTCCTCCTCAAGCGCATCTCCTTCATCACGTGGTGGTAGTGGAGAAGGTCCAGCAAGCTCTTCGCCATCGGTAGCCTTAGCTTCTTGTGGCCTTCCCATACCATCATCACACGGTGGTTCCTTGCCGGAGTAGGCCTTGACATACTCTCGCGGTAGGGTATACTTCCCAATAAGGAAATATCGAAGACCTTTTCCGAGGGCTCCTTTGGAAGACACATCTAGGCCGGGGTTAATAGGTCCCGCAACATCCGTGGTCAGCGTGAACATGTCTGGGTGTTTCACTCTAGCATGCCTTCGGCCCGTTCCTCTTGACATAACACACGTCAGACACTCTCGTTGATACTTGGCGTGACCCGAGGCTACGTGCTCCTTCCACTGCGCAGCTGTTAGCGCAGCCATCCTTGGTATTTCCTTTGGATGACGTCTCCAAAGCTGCAGAGCTAACACGACCAGGTACTAACCACGGACTTTGCACAGGCTTCATCGTCTGCGCTCTCCTTCCGCATGGCGTCCAGGCCCATCAGGTAGTAGATATTTGTTCCTAGGGTTGTAGTACTTGTGGTTGTAGCTCCCATAGCACTTTGATCAAAGGTCACCGAAGTCATGCCCATCTCCTGCGCAAAAGTCCTCCATGTGGGGGTTGACCAGAGCGATGTTGTTGAGGTACAACCATCAACCCAGTTCTCCTCCGCAGGGTGCTCCACCATGAAGGCCACCGGCCTTTGGCGATTGAGAGGGGCCGCTGAGCTCGTAGTCCTTGCCGCTTCGGCGACCACATAAAGCCACAACATCCGCGCAACCAGGGCCAAGTTCCTCACATCCTTCTTTGTAGCCTTCTGATCCCATCGTGGGAGTCCACTGCGACCTGGAGGTCCACCGACTACTGCTTCAATCTTTCCCGTCAGTGCTCCCCACATCAACATCCGCCATGTGGGGTCTCTCTGTATGTCGTGGGCCTTGTTCCGCTCCAGATCCAACTCAATCACCACCGTGTCGCCCTCATCAAGCTGGAACATCTTGTAGTGGCCAACCGCTCCCGCATAGAGATGAACGATCCACCTCTTTGCCGTCCACAAACGCCGCTTCTGAGGTCGGCTGAGAAAGTCGACCTTCTTCATCACATCCCATCCACGCTCACAAACGCCCTCCTGCACCATTCCATTTAAGCATTCACCTGGCATCCCTTGTAGAAAAGGTGCGTCACGAAGTCCTCCAAGGGCTGCCTCATGCGACCCCGTGTCCACATAGTCCCTCACGTAGTCCCACCAACTTTTGTCCATTGTCATTGCTGCCAGGCTCACTGCATCCAAGGTGGTCATGGTCTCGTTTTCCAGGCGCTCGCGCTTCTTGTCCTCTAGCTTCGCTATCAGAGCTAAAGCCGCGGCTTCGCACAATTGGGGACAGCCAGTCGACACATTCAAGGAAGTCCTTGTGCCCTCTGCGTCTTCTAGGCAGCACTCTCCTGGACCCCAAATCAGCGTGTACCCCAAGGTTCGGACCAGTTCACCCATTGGAACTATTGTTTGGCCTGCTGTTGCTTCTGTGGTTGACGTGGTTGCTGAGGACCTGGGAGGCATAAGCAAAGAACCTGATTCTGAGAGCTTCATCACCAGCTGGTTATTGCCCGCGAGGTGGACGAGTACGCTCTCACTGCTATTCCACTCATCATAGTCGTAGGCATTGCGTAAACAATGGGTGGCGCCAGAATCCAGGAGAGCCGCTGACGAGGATCGGACGCTGCAGATCCTCACATCCTGCACCCTCATTGTCCTCAGCTCAGGCTTAGTCTTCTCCGGTGAACTGTCCCCACTGGCCGTGGAACCTTGGTTCTGCACCACCTGTTGGGCGGCTTGGATAAGATTCTCCAGGGTCCACGGTACACCCTGCACAGAATTCACTGATGCCGTTGAGGTACTATCCAAGGTCGAGCTCGGCGTGGCTGTTGTCACCGAAGAAGTTCCTGTGGACGTCGTTCTCTGAGGTCTCTGGTCCCTATTAGCTGGGGAACTAGGAGTTGTTGTAGATCTGGTACTCTTGCCCACTGTGCAATCCCTCTGTCGATGCCCTTCTGCTCCGCAAAGTAGGCACTTCTTGTTCCTAGTTTCGCGGTCCAAGGTGGCCATGCTATGGCTATAGGTGCACTTCGCGCCCCGTTTGCATCCTGAGGGTTTCAGGAAGTACCGACACAGCTCAGAAGTCGGAGACCCCTTGTCCTTATCCTTGCCCTTCTCCCGTTCACGCTCACGCGCTGCTGTAGGTCGCTCCAAGGCTCGCAGCCTTGGCTGCTCTTGGGCCGCTGCTGTAGTGGCAGCGGGACGACTGGCCAGTAGGTTCTCGATCTCCGCCTGTAAGTGCCGCTGGTAGGCATACACATCCTCCATACGGGGCTGTCCATCCAGCCTCAAGCTTGTTCTCACCATCGCCGTCCGGAAAGCCGCGTCCTGGGACTGCTCCAGGTGGGTTGAGGTTAACAACTTCAACCCTCGTGCCAACACTGAAGAGTCCGGAGGCACCATTTGTAGCGAAGCGCACCTCGCAATCCATCGCGGCCAAGACCGGAGTACCTCTGGTAAAGTATTGCTGGCAAGGTTATCGGCTGGGCTCTGCAATTTCCTCAATACATCTTCTCGCTCGTGACTACCTCCTGGTTGGTACAGCGTATGTAGTCTGTATAACATCTTGACAGCGCTGGTGGAAATGCGATGCGAAACCATCTCTGCTTGTTGTTCCGGCGACATTGCACCCAGCAGCATCGCCGACACCCTGGCATTCAGTCTCAGCCATCGCTCTGCAGACAACTCTTCACCGGCGGGCTGAACACTCAGGCGCTCAAGCGGCGTACTCCCCAGCCATTGTCTGTAGGTGCCCTCAACTTCTTGAAGGACTCGTCGCCACCAGCTACCGCTCTGCTCGCTAACATCACACATCACTGCCGTGGTCAGTTCCAGCCAATCCTGGAACTTCATCGCCGTCTCCGCACCTGGGATAAGGTCCGGTAACTGAGCTAGGGTTGTTGTTCCTGGCTTGATAACTTCCGCCGCGGGGGATTGACTCTTCGTCATAGCTGCTGCTTGTAGTTCTTGAAGTTGCTGCACCCCCTTTAGTAGTGCGTTCATAGCCGGAGAATCCCCGAGAGCTCCAGGCGAAGATGTCCTCGGCGGTGGCGTCTCGCTCCTTGGTCTCTGGCCCAGAAGTGACCTCACAAAGCTTCGGGTTTCAGGCAAAGGGGGCGGCTGAGGTATAGATCTTGCTCCTGCTACATCAGGGTCAGGAGGTCGAGGTTCTCCTTGAAACATGCTAGGACCTGATGGAGCTGTTAGAAGATCTTCCAATAGCCTCGGGGGAGCTGGAGGTTCCTTAGGACGGCCTCGTAGATCGCGTGGGTCTTGTAGCAGATCTCCTATAGCTTGCCCTCCTTGTCCCCATAAGCTGCCCTGCCCTGTAAAGCCTGGAGCACCTCCGAGAGGATCCCATACTGGTACTGTAGAACCGTGCCTGTCAGGTACGCGATCTGTTCTGGCTACTTCTAGGATTCGACGAGCTTCCCCAAGTTCATTCATCAAGGCTTCATTCTGGCTCTCTGCAACCTGAAGACGCCCTAGGATCCCACCCAGTTGTCGCTGTACCTCTGCTTGTATTGCTTCAGCTGAGATATCCGAACTCGGAGGTGTAGGCGGCGGTACCGGCCGCGTTGTTCGAGTGGGAGACCTCAACCGAAATGCAGGCCCTCCCGGTGGCGATTGCGACGACGCCATGGAGCCTCCCAAGGGACTTGGAGCTAATTCTCCCCGTCCTTGTGCCAGATAGCTCCCCAGTCGAGTCACCCAGCGTGGTACCTCCAATCCTCCCATCCAGTTGTTCTGGGTGGCCGTTACTGTAGTCATAGCGGATCTCGGGGTGAGGAACTCCATTGCACGAGTTCCTCCAACCACTGCTGCCTGCGCTGCACTTCCCTCGCCATAGTCTCCGTCCAGGGCACCAGTCGTAGACAATCCCTGTGATCGCTCCTGCTGGGGCTCAGATTCGTTCCCAATGGCAGGGGCATTGGACGTTGTAGGCGCCTCCGGCTCATCTGCAGATCGAACAGCCTGATTCATCACCACATCAGTCTGCCGCTCCGCCAGCCCATCCGGCGTGGTCATATTCCCCGTCACATCCGTGGACTGAGACGTCCCCACATATGCTTCTTGCAAAGATGGCGGTATCCCATTCACAGATGGCGCAGCCCAGGTAGGTTGGGCACTCATAACCTATTGATAGAGAAGTCTTACAAGCAG